TTGACCTCGCATCCCTACAAAGCCGGGACGGAGCACGCCGGGTTCTCACCGGACCAGGCTCTCACATCACCAAGCGCGATGCGCCGTGAGATATCCGGCCAGTCGAATGAAGGGTGTGCTGCATCCTCCTAAGGGTGTTCGGCATCTCGTGCTTACTTCCTTGCATACGGATGACAGCGTGCGTACGACTTAATTTATTTTCTGGTGCTATCACTTCCAGAGACAGTTGTTAGCAATATGTAACTGCCTCGAGGGTGCTTGACCATTTAATCACAGGGGCGGGCGGCGTATTTTACAACGTTGTTGCCAAGCGACGAAAACCCAACTCCGATGGCGAACACCGGGGGGGGGGGGGCGGAGGGAGAGGGGGGGGGGTAGCGATACGACGGAAAATATTGGGGTGTCCCGGCTGGTATTCTTGCCATTGCCTCCTCCATCAGTCCGGAAGCATGTCTCTCTATCTGTACGACTGCAGTCGTGCCTTCTACCTTTCGATTGGCTAACGCGAACCCCTTCCTGCTGATCACGATATTTCAGGTCATAATTATTTGTGAACACATTCTTCTCGGTCGTACGCATATCGGTTGAGACATCCACACCACTTCTTTCTCTACATGTTGATAAGAATATCCTTCACTGCTGACGTTCTACAATCAATGTGGATGCTTTCAATATGGGGTCAACGAGCCGACAGGGGCTAGATGCGTCATCCATGCAAGACACAGGAAAGATGGTCCATCCGCCTCGATTTGGAAAGTTGCGGTACATCGTGCAGATCAACCGCAACAAGACAATCAAGCAAGTTGTCATGAGACACTGCGACGTGTTTTTGTGAAGGTAGAATGTAAGTATAACACATGTAACGGAGGTATAATGAAAGTGTGTGGAGGGTGGAGGTACTGCTGCCGACCAGGTAGGTACACTAGCAGATCTCTGTAACCATGGTCCTATTTAGCTGTAAGTAGCTACGATTGAAAATAGCTGTAGCCCATACCTACGGGATGCAGTTGGTTTGAGATCGCTTGGGGCTCTGTGGGTGAAGATCTTCCTGGTGGAGCAAACAAGAAGTTTCTCCACCGGTGGAGGTCACCTCAAACATCGGTTGTACGAAGGGGGCCGCTGACAACGTGAAGAAAACTAAATATTCCTCACCAAACCCAATACTGTTGTAGTAGGGCGGGGTAAATGAGCCACGGGTTACGACTCAAAACGTTGCAGAATTTTCTGTTTGTGATGCTGTGCGAGACACGCTGCTTCCAGGCCGCAACCGCACACACGCGAGCGCGGAGCGGTCCGCAATCAATACTTTCAAGTAAAATAGAGAACGTGTCCAATATGTATTCGAAGGGATCTTCAAGAAGGGACTGGTTGGTGCATCCGCTCCCCCGCTCGAGTGCCAAATAAATGCTGTTCTTGGATTCGCTGTGGCCGGCGACTACAAGTCCAACGCCGAAGACTTTCCTTTCTCAATCCGTCCACGCCGTCCTTTTCCGAAACGTGCAGCTCATCTTTTCTGCCATCATTATGGACACGGCGCAGGAGAATGCTGGAGAAACTTTGATCATTCTGCTGGGGCTCTCCACGTTGTTGGATACCTCCGCAGGTGAGTGGATGGGTTCGTTTGATCATCATTGGGGAACACGATCGATGGGTGTGTAAGTTGTACGTGTTACCGCCACGGTCAACTGCTCTCGTTGGTCAAAACCTTACTACAGCTCTCCAACGTCGTTCCGTGACACAGCAGGGGCCGACAGTATTTTGATCCAAACGCTGGTATGTAAACGCTGTTTCCATTTGCCTAGTAGGCAGACAGGTAGACACCGAACAGGGGGGGGTTCATTCGCTTGCAAACACAGGATTTACCTCAGGATGGGGTGTGATGTGTGATTACGTTACGTTTGTTCACCTCTACGAGTAGTGAGTAGCCGATTTCCCCAGTGGTGAAGTTGGTGATTGCAAAACCACAATCGTGAGCGGCTCCCCATCGCCTCACAGTACCCCCCTGAAGAAGTTGTTGACCAGAGTGACCTTACTTCGTAGGTTAACGTTGGTGCCGCTGGTGTGTTGGGTCGTTTTCGGAGACAGTGTCAGCTGCGATAGTTTTCGGAGGGGTCGATCTCACGCAACAGCGTTTGTCGAATCGTGCGATGCTGTAGACTATGTCCTTGCAGCAGTCCTTTGGCGGCGTTCAGACTGACTGCCCTATATCAACGGAACCTATCTTTGACCTCGGTGGACCCCTTGATTTGGGATTTACGTTATTTGAACGGTTCCACATAGGTAAAGGAAGGTGCACTGTAGCGTATGGGGCGCGAACGCTATACAGTAGCAGCTTCATTTTGACGACACAGCGTTGCTATTGTAGACATACTGCTGTAGTAGGTAAGTTTGGAAACCAAAAATTGGAAGCACCTTTCCACCGTTCGGAGAGATGTCAGCTCGATATCTACCCTGCCTGTGTTCGGTGCTGAGGTCATCGGACCTTGTTCTATGCTTTGTTCTGTACCTCGAACCGCCACGGTGGTATTGGTTGTGGAGGCTGCGGTCCATGGTTGATTTACTGGATACGTGGGCGGTTCCCCCGGCATTTCGTATACGGAGAGCCTGTGGCGTCGATACCAGTTTTTTCGAGCTCGCTTTTTCGTTTGTCTCGTACTCCGGTATCTCTCTCTATCGTGGAACATCGCAGTGCGCCGCTGGTCGATTCGGCAATAATAGTCATTTCTGATACAGCTGCTGGTCATGACAGTTCTGTGCCAATCTCACCACCCGCCCACTCATCTCCTCTCATCTGCCGTCTGTCCTGCGTACGCCGTTGGTTCCAGTTAATGTATGCCTGGACTCCACCGACGCCGACAGATGTCAAAGTGATGCAGATGGAACTTTGTGAGCCCCAACCGAATTTTGTGTTATTGCCACGCAAGACCAAACGTGTTTGATGGTGGCTGACAAGGCACCCGTTGATGCTCGTCATGGCTCGTTGCAGCACGGTTGAGTTACCTTGCAGGGTGGGGTTTATGTAATTTCCTCGTTAATCGTCGCTCCAAGATCGGCGGTGGTTATTATTATCTAACCTCCGGTACCCCTTGGTCGGGAAACGTTGACATTGGGCAGTATTTTTGAGTTCAGGGCATTTGGCAAGGTATTTATTCACGCATTTTCACGCGCTTTCTGTGAAACAACACCGCCGCACCTCAAATAGAGCAAGACTTGACGCGCCGTTTGGTGTGTGCGATCTTATCCCAGGGGTATTGGATCGTGCGGCATAACAGATGCCGCTTTCGACGATCTAGCGTCGTGCTTGGAAGCTGCCGGACCAGAAACAATCACATATATATGTGAGTGCATCAATATGCCATAAGGGTGGGTATTGGCCGGTTGATATTTTTGTTGGAAGCGGCCTTTGCAAGGTGCTGTGCTGATATCCAATTCGGCTTGAGGCGAGCGTACAGTCGAGCTACAAGGTAGGTTGTTGTCACCTCAGCAACAACCAGAGACACCAATGGTGCCCATAAACCATTAAACCCCGACGAGCGCGCCGGAAAGCAGTTAGTAGGAAGTTCGGTGTAGAACAGGTCGGGGGTGTCTAAGACCACCTCCAGCCCACGTACCATAGTCTCGCTGCCGTTATGGTGTCTACGCCCAACCGCTGCACTGTCTCGGATGCTTGGGGTTGGATGGGTTTGTCTGTGAAATACACGGTTTGGTCAATTTCGATCTGAATGTGCGTTCATTCGGCATTTTTGACGGTACATTATTCATCGTATGTAAGCAGGTTCTGAGGGGACAGGGAGAAAGAGGCGATCTCGGCGTTGCTGGAAACGTGAGCACCCAAGGATCGTACTACGTATTGGGATCAGTTGTCGCTTCCTGGCATTGGCCGTAGAAGGTCGACAAGGTTGTCGGTATCGGGCTAGCTTGCGATGGAGAACAAAAACATCGCAGACAAATCGTACCCATGGTCCATTAAACCCCAACGAGCGCGCCGGAAAGCAGTTGGTAGGAAGTTCGCTGTAGAACAGGTCGGGGGTGTCTAAGACCACCTCCAGCCCACGTACCATAGTCTCACTGCGGTTATGGTGTCTACGCCCAACCGCTGCACTATCTCGGATGCTTGGGGTTGGATGGATTTATCTGTGAAACGCGCGATTCGGTCAATTTCGATCTGGATGTGCGTTCATTCGGCATTTTTGACGGTACATTACTCATCGCATGTAAGCAGGTTATGACGTAATGGAGAGAAAGAGGCGATCTTCGCGTCGCTGGAAACGTGAGCACCCAAGGATCGTACTACGTATCGGGATCATTAGTCGCTTCCTGGCATTCGCCGTAGACCCTTTGCATGGTGGTGCCCTCTTGGCCTCATGTCCTAGCCTCTTATCCGATTCGTGGTGTACTCAATGCAACCCTGGAACAAGTTCCAGCTGCCAACTCGTCGCCTTCGCTGTAGCGGGAAGAAGGCATGATTGTTGTGATTGTACCCAGGTCATCGCGGCGGCCGCGGCGTTGCTAGCGCCGCTGTACTGAAGGGCGTCCGTACATGCTGGTGGGCTGGCCGCGCTTCGTAGATCACCATGTGCGGCAGCAAGCACTGATTCCTAGCTCATGTGTGTTATCTGCTCCGCTCGCGGCCTTCCCTCGACACCCGAAGGTACCTGTACTACAACGAGCTCACCACGCTGCCTGAGGGAATCTTCGGCAATACAACGGGTCTTCAAAAACTGTAAGTAGATGTTCGACAAGGTTGTCGGTGGAATGTTTTTCCGCATCGGGCTAGCTTGCGATGGAGAACAAAAAGATTGCAGACCAATCGTGCCCAGTAAAACCGCAAAGTGTTGCGAATGAACACCATCCATCACGGCAAGTGTTGAAGAAATTTCGGTTCGCGTTCGCGTATAGAAGGCTAGTCAATGGGCCTGCCCCGGGGCGCAACTGATGATCAGTCGGCCCGCCACATATTCGCCCCGGTGGTCTAGTCTAGTGGGTAGCCTCGCAGCCTGCTAAGGGCCATTGCATGGGTTCGAGTCCCGACAGAGTGAGTTTTTTCTCGCTAATTTAATCCTGGTCTCCGTTGGAATCAACGCGCTGCACAGCTCGTTGTTAGTAAGCTTGATCGACTTCATAAGTCGCGAGGGAAGGGATTACTGTACCCTTCTCGCGATAATAGTATCTCAGGCAGGAACCGCCGGAGGGGGTCCAACCCCCCCCCTCCTAATGTGACCCCGGTTGGGTCGTCTTGCTGGTAGAAGTGGAGGATAGGGGCCAGAAGGGCAGACGACAGAGTCCAATGAAGGGAGACAAATATATATATATATATATATTACCTAAGGGGGCGCTGAGGCGACTGGGTCGCAACCACCACACATTGGATGTTTCATTCAACTGTCCTTATACTTATTACATGGTGCCCGCGGCGTGCCCGAGCTCTTCCTCTTGCTGTGCGGCGAAGCCGTTGAACACCTGCTCCAGGGACGTCTGGCTAATGGCGTACTCACCGATGCACAGAGCTTCGCGCTCGTTCTATTGTTCGGAGTCAACGGCAACACGATTCGAGGGAAAAACACTCAAGAAAATGAAAACACACAACCGTTTGTATAATGTATGCGTGCTATGGGTCTAGACTGACGCAGTTTGGCCTCGACGTTATGTTTTCCACCTATTGCAGGAGATAGGGGGGCCGAATCCCCGATGCATATTCTAGAGACGTCGCATTTGGTTTGTTTGGTCTTGATGCAAACACCAATGACGAAGTAGAGTGTTGTTTCGGGCTGAGATTCTGTCACGACTGGCTCTTTTGCCTTCATGCACACGGGTCAGAAACAACCCTTGCCGTTGTCGGAACCTCCGTGGTAAGTGCAACATCCAGAAGGAAGGGGGAATTGTGCGAGTCCACATTAAAAAGCCTCTTAAGGAGGAATCGAACGGAGTATTCGCATGACTGGGATGCGTGTAGTACCCGTAACGGGTACAACAACAGCTGGTTGTACTCCGCATCACTATCTAAAGCATCGGCGGAGTCACGCTGCTCTCTCTCTCGTAGAGTGGGGGGGGAGTACTTCAACACTTGGAGAGCTCTCCAGGAGAGTTCTTGGAAAGCGCTGTGAATGAATACGACGGCAGTAGCATATGCATCACTCACTGTGGTGGCGAGTTCTAGTGGTACTTCTTAGGTTTGGTCAAGAGTTGTCAAGTATACCTACCTCGACAACGCCGAACATTTGCGCGAGGGTCTGGTTCTTCTGCGGCGGAAATTCGAAGCGCATCTTGGCGTTCTGCTTCTCCCGCATCACTGCTCCCGCGAACTGTTGCTGCATAAAGGCGATAACCTATTATTGATGACATTGCAGCCATGGCAACCGCACGACATGCGAGCGAGGAATGGTTTTTTGGCGGGTCACTGGTGAGATGTTGGTGGCAGCCAGTACATCAGTAATAAAAACCAACGTTCTCACCCTCGTTTGGTTGAAAACAATCACCGCGACGTTCACCACGCAGCAGGGGCACCACAGCAGAGTGCCAAACGATCCGTGGAGAAACATGACCCTCGACTCTCCTTCTCTATGCACGTCCTATACCTACCAGGAACCAAAAAGAACACTATCGATCGTACCAAGATGGCACGACATTAGCCAATCATCCAGTCTTACCGTGTATCCACCCACCAACTAAACATAAACCAAACCGACCAGAACAACAACGTCACCTTAGAGCACTTCTTCTCCACGCAGATCCAAGCCGCCAGGTCCCTCACGGGCACCCCGCCCTGGTTAGCGATGGCGTGGTAGATGCTCGCCCCGCGGCCGGTGGGAGAGACCTCCGCCTCTAGCTCGGGGGCCTGCGCGGCGGCGAGGGCCGCCCGAAGCACGCCACCGTCGTTTCCGAGGGTGCCCTGCCCGTTCGTGGCCGACGCCAGCTCGGTCATCATGGCGTCGGTCTCCTGCACTCAACGCCGTCGACCGAAAAAAAACGCAACACACACAGCGCAGGGAGGCTGCTGAATGAGGTGCTAGTCAAGGTTGGCGAGGGCGAGGTCATCGGAAGACCGCGGAGCCGTGATTCGGTTAGCCTTCTACACGCGGCAAGCGGCGAGAGGGCGGGACTCCCGAACCCGCAATAAAGTTTCGACACCCAGAGCTGTAATTTTGTCTTGGCGTCGAAAGAGGCAAGCGAAGGTCAGGCGCCCCCGCCCCCCGGACATATCTAACCCGATGGTATTGCACGCAATTAATATAACCTATTGATCGGGTGTGGCACCACCCCCCTGGATACTTTCAAAGCTCGTTCCCCTGAACGAGAAACGAATGTGCACGAAGCAAAGAATGCGGAGTGTCTTTCGCGAAAGAGAGGGATTGTAAAGCATCGCATGCATTTTGAAGTTCGCACGGAATGACCTGGCGCAAGACTCAAGGACAACAGGTTATGTATGCCGCCACCGGAATTGTTCGCTCGTTTGGGACTAATCTTCTTGACTTTGTGCGTGACCATTGAGAGAGGAAGTCGCCTGTGTTGTCTTGAGGAACAAATTTGCTGCAAGTTCCGGAGAAATTACGTAAAGACGCCCATACCGATGTGAAACATTGTGGGAGACAGAGCATACATGCAGCCTTTCCACCGTGTACCTCGGGTAGGATGGCTTTGACGCGCGCCTCCAGCTGGAAGCCCTTGCCGAAGCGTGTCTTGAGGTGCTGCGAAGTGCCGAGGCACCGGAGGCGCCCGCCGACCATGATGCCGATGCGCTGGCAGAGAGCCTCGCACTCTTCCATGCTGTAGGAAACGACATGTATGTGTCGTGTCAAGCGACGAACAAAGAAACTCCAAGAAATAGCGATCGTGTTAAAATGCCCGTTGCCTTCGCACCGTACAACTTCTCGCTAAGAGCTCAGTTTCGACCACTAGACCATAGGGAAAACAATAAGTTGTAGCAAGTAACCGATGAGGAGGGCCTGACCAATCAGACCCACGGTTATGAATACCTGTGCGTGGTGAGGATCATCGCGCACTCCTTGTTCTCCGTGACTATCCGCATGATGACGTTCCACATGAAACGCCTCGCCATGGGGTCCATCCCCGTGCTCGGCTCGTCCAAGAACACGATCTGTGACACAAAATCGATCCCGCAACAATAAAGGAGGAACGGAATGGCATAAAGTACTGTAAAACGGCAGACAGATCCCTACATTCCCGTCCCAACGTACGGCATGACGGCGGTCCAACAACAACTTTACGAAAACGTGTCGTACATCGACCAATCAATCGCTACATCGTGTGCATCTACAATTTCGTGTTCTTCGCAAGTATTACCGATAGTCGTGGTAGCTCTCGCAGCTCAGCAACCACCGTACTGCTACCGTCGTCTTTGGCTTCCGAAGTCTCGCGATTCTTGTTGCCCACCTGTGGGTCCCCGATCATGGCCATGGCAACCGAAAGCTTGCGCTTGTTACCGCCGCTGTACCCGCCGGCCGGCCTTTCCGCGTAGCGCGTCAACCCCATCTCCTCGATCTTCTGGTTCACTGCAGCAGACCGCTTGTCCGCCGGGATACCCTGCGTGGTACAGATGAAGTCAACCAGTAAGGCCATCAACGCTTCCAGTGTTGTTCTCTCGATGTGAAGGAAGATGACAGCGACAGAAATCATACCAGTACTGGCCGGCCTCTCTGTGTACAGGGAACTGACCCAATCTCAGCTCGGGCAGGCACCGACATTGAAACGCTAGCGAAGTAAAGGATTTTGCTGGACTGGAATCGTCGAGAGTACGCGGTGGTACCTCGCACTAGGGCTGCAGATCGCACGCTCGTCATGCCGACTAGGGCAGTTCCGCCCGTACTTCTTGCACCTTTCAAACCAGAATATTCGGACCATCTGACGATCAATGCAACCCATCACTCAACTTTGCGAATGAACTTATTCCAGTCGTAGCGGATGGTACCTTTACCGCAGTTCCAACAAGGATTCCACGATTTGCGGTTCAACGGTTGGTAATGCTACCTTGATCGCCGCGTATAGAGCGAGGTGCTCCCTGCCCGTGAGCGTCTCGAACAGAGCGTCGAACTGCGGGCAGTACCCCACGAGGCGATGGATCTCCTCAGGATTCTTGCCCACGTCAAAGCCACCGAGGAGGGCCGATCCGGTTGTAGGTGGAAGCTCACCTGCGTTGTTGGTACAACGAATTTCGCAGTTTGTAATGCTTTACATTTGGTTTGGAGTTGTATGTGGCTCGGTTTTCTTGTTTTGTCTTTGCATAAATGATGTTCTACAGCCGCATACGGGTGTTAATCAAGCACTCATCCATAGTGGCAACACCGGCCAACCTGAGAGGATCGCGAGAGTGGAGCTCTTCCCTGCCCCGTTGATGCCGAGCAGGCCGAAGCACTCCCCGCGCGGGATGCCCAAGGACGTGCTCTTCACGGCAACCTTGGCGCCGTTGCTCACAGGGTATACCTTCCGCAGACCGGCAACCTTAAAGTATCAACAGTATGATTACAAGCACGTCGTGTTTCAGGCGGACGTGTTGCTGAGATTTGTTCGATATTGGTCCCGATAGGTCTGGGCATGCTTCCTCCGCTCTCGACGATAGCTTGGTCTAGGTGGCACGTTCCCTTTGGTCTTGTGGCGATGCTTCGGGCTCCGAATTCAAAGCAACAATTTTACCCCGAAGGCGTCTGTTGCCCCCATACTGTGGGAATATATTCGGTCTTGGTGTGTTATCTGCTCCCGAGAGACGCCGCCGGCACACGACGGTGTGGTCTTTCCTTCCGAGAGCTTGCCGGTACACATGCATTGCATGGCGGCACGTTGTAACACAGGTAGCATCACTGCTCACCTTGACAACGTCGTTGTCGGCTGCGCCGGTAGCCACCCTGTCCATCTCCGCCCTGACGTCCTCGTCGATGTTGTCCTCGTCCCCGAGCTGTTTGGGCGTCAGTTTCTTCAGGCTCCTGCCCAGGACCAGCTTGCCATAGATGCCGGAGAGGAAAGAACCGCCAGCGGAAATCCTGGACCACGTGTGCATGCCATCGTCGATCGGGTTGTGGTCAGGGCGAAAAGCCACACAACCATGCGGGGACCAACAGTCAGTAAGGGTGGGTGGTGTTATTTAGTAGACTTAAGAGGTTAAGCACACAGCCAGCCGCGATAGACGCGCAGAGCGGCAGTAGCTACAGTAGCGGGGAGGACGGGTGGTGTCGGGTGGTGTTTTTCAAGTAGTACGTTGTGTTATTTAGCGTTTGGACCGACCTTGCGTTAATATGAAACCACGGCAGATTATGGCCGTAAGCTCGCACCTCTCGAAAACGAGCAGCAGCACGAAGTACACCACGCTGCAGACACCCATGTATCTCAGGCTGTTCCCGGCAATAGCGCCGTCCAGCGGCGTGTACTCCGTATCATTGAAGAAGCTTAAGATGGGAATAAAACTCATCTTCATCAACCCACTCCCGAGGGCGTACTGCGGGACGAGCCGGGCCAGGGTCGCGATTCCGTCGCCAACGTCCTACGGGCGTGAACGAACACACAATAAAGTGAAACAAACACCGTGGTGTATAGTGCGGACATGTAAGAAGTCCACCCGCCGTGCGTATTATCGTTGCCGCACCCGGTGCAACGTTAACAGCAAGAGCAGACGCGGTCTGATCGTCGTTGTTCATCCCTGACTCGTGTGTAGGGTCAAGAGCTTGGAAGATGTTGTGGACTCACTTCTACTCAGCAAACTTCAGCGAGAACAAATCTGAACCATGAAGTTTCAGAAGCAGAGGGGAGATTCGAAGTGTTGTCGGGTGAACAACCCACCATTTGGGTGGTGAACGTGAGAACTCGCTGCACACACATGGGGGCAAGACAATCAGAACAATTGGCGTATCGGCAACCGAGCATATTTGCTGTGTTGTGAGGTTTCTTTGTCTGTGTCGCGCGCACTTACCGACACCTTGCCGTCGAAGAAAGCCATGATAGACGTCGCGATCGGCAGAATGAGTCCGGTGATCCAATTGTGAAACAGGAAGGCATTCTGGGCGGTCGAGTAGTTCTTGAACGCGAAGCTCCACAGGTAGGTGTAGCACGGCTGTCTCGTTCGTTGCCGTTGTCGACGGGGAGGGGTTCCGGGGAAGGGAGTTTGCGCACTTCAGGTTGAAATCGACTGCCAAGCGGATGAAAGTCTGTGGTGTGCTACCGTTAAATCCACCAGGTCATTTTCGTCGACCACGCGGGCAACCAGGGGATGGAGAAGGGGGTACACTCCTGTGTTGTTGCTGCCTTTAGTTGTTAGGCCATCGACCCCGCAACAATATGGAGACAAAACCACGGTGGTTCCTACCCCCACAAAAGACACCCCCAGCACACGAGCACACACGACCGCTAGATAACGTGCTGCCACCCTTGACATTAGAACGGAAACTTCGCTTTCCCTCCACCAGTTCAGTTTGTTTCTCACCATCTATCTTACTATCTCCCTGTCGAGTGCTTGCATTCCCCTTGCCATCTAGCGTGTGGTGGGTGCCAGATTCATAATGTCACATCTCTCCCTCTCAAGACACCCTAAACCTGGTAGTCTGTGCTCACTTCTACGATGCGAACCCACCATGCTGGTGCCGTACAGCAGGAAGAGCAGGAAGGTGGTGGCCCCTGCCTCTCCGGAGATGAGGGTGCCCACGTCAGCGGCGGCTAGAATGATGAGGGTAAAGGCCATCGGGGGCATGAGGGACACGAAGTCCCACAGGTAGGAGGACAGCCAGTACGCCTCCAGACCCACACCGGACACCACCTTTTGGAGTTTCACGAGGAGGGCGAAACATGGAGGGTGTGTTGCCAGTCGCGGTCATGTCAAACCCGCAGTATAGGATAGTCACGTTGACATCCATGCGTTTGTCAAACAAGGCTCAAGCGATTTCGTTTCAATATGTCGGACATAAAGACTTGTAAACGCAGGACGACGCGCGAGCCAGTGCTTTCTGTATGTCCGAAACATGCACAGAGGATCAGGTAAGGATACCATTTGAGAGATTCAGGCATCCACAACAGCGCGACATCGAAAAATATCGAAAAATCACCGCAAAACAAGAATCAGGCAGATGCAGCATGCGGAGCTCCAGCGAGGCAAAACAACACCACCGCCGAATTGCAGTACGTCGTCGCAACGCCTGCGCGGAGTATTTCACACATCGCATACCGTGGTATGCGTATTTTTGTGTTGGTCTAGGCGTGCATCCTCGATGCAGTACAGACCACCCCGTACACAGCACGCTCTCGCCACGCGAGTGTTTTCTTTACCTGCTGGTGCTTGCACTTGGTCTCCTTCTCGCGGACGATGTAGGCCATCCATGCCGCGGGCACGAAGCTGAAGGCGATAAGTATGTAGAAGGTCACGTTGAACGAGTCCACTCCGGAGTCGAAATTGTTCTGGTACCTGGTGCCTGTTTTTACCGGCAAGAGGGGACAACGGTGATGTATCTGTCGTTGTATCCACCGCTTCCCCCAACTGCACATGAAGAAATCTGCCGGTGCTCTCAAGCACGCGAAGATATCGGGTTTGTTCTGAGTCTACTGCTACTATCTATGCACGTGACGAGAAGTGCAACCTACCGTGCGGCATGTCTTTCTGAACCCGTCACACTTGGCTAGCGTCGAGTAAAACTTGAAAAATTCAAATGAGAATCGTATTAGGACGCTCCGCGCAATTCAACTGCTCGCAACAAGCTTGTAGCTATGATCGTAAATTGATAAGACACACAACAGCGATGTCTCCGACATCGTCAGCGGGATACACCATTGAAGGCACGCGACGCAGGACGCGAAAGGTTCCGACCAAAAATTGATTACCATATTAGGTAAATATGTATGTGGATGTGTGACTGAACGACAACTCACGTGGAAGTGGGTGCATGGAAGTGGTGATGCTCAGTGCATCGTTTCCGGCGACAATGCGGAGGATGGCCGAGTTGACCTGGTTCATGTAGAGCGGCACGCTGTGCAGCGCGCTGTAATTGGCCTGTTCCCATGCATCAAAATAAGGTGGCGGGTGAGCTGCAGGTGAATGTGGAGCACGATGGAATTTTGCTTATTGTAACACCCTGTGGGACCGAGACACGCAAGAAGGTGGCGCACGCAACGCTCACAAACGTCTGGAGCTGCTTGAGGCGGCGTAGTTTGTGAGGGGCGATGCGCGTGTTCACAAGTCGAATTGGTATCGGTGGTGGAGCCGATAGGCCGGCCCGGCGAAACACTACCAGATAGCTCGTGGGAGGCAGAGAGATTCCTGCTAAAGGGCGGTGTATGGTGTGTGCGGACACGACGACGGCGAAAGTTGAACGACGCGGCATATCATGTCTACAGCATAGTGAAACCTATGGACGATTTTCGCGCACTTGTACTGTCTCCATTCCACGTGTCACGAATCAACATGATACCCATCTGTAATGAAAGCTCAACCCGCTACAAAGCGGATCGTCTGGCTAATCTGGTCACGTTTCCCGCCTCGTACCGAGATCTCCCGCTATACATGCAAGAACGCAAACAAACGCGAAACGCGACGGCTAGAAACGGTGAAGCGCTCCTGCTTCACAGACTGCGGGCGGGCGAATATTTACGAGTTTTCGCGTTGTATCGCTTGGTTTTGCGTGGTATTCCTGTGGGTACATGAATATGTCCCGTTGAAACTACGGTACGGTCCGGCTGCAGAAACAGGCTTGGATGTAATTTGCGATCGGATACATGGTACAATCAGGTATACATGGTAGGTGTTCGGCGGGGGTATAGAGTACTCTCTCTTCCTCTCTCTCTCTCTGCCTCTCTGCCTCTCTGGCTCACGGCCTGCCTCTCACATGCACGGTGTAGTCGTAGGTACCATCGGATGAGTCAGCCTGCCGGAAACTGGCCGCCCCGTATACGTTGTTGTCGTAGCCCTGTCCGGTAAGAGCCGTGCTCATCTTCAAATCGGCGATCCAAAAGAAGGAGCAAAGGGAACACAAGAGGAGTGTGCAATATGCGTCGTGTACCAGCACTTTGAAAGCCTCGAAAATCAGCAGTGTCGAGTCGGTGTAGTGATTATCTATCTTCCTTACGAGCGCGAATACAGCCCTGCTTGTCTCGTCATTATTGGGCACGATAGTATGCGACCGAAGGGCCGGAAGGAAACGAGAAAGAGCGAGAAAATGATGGCGGGGGGGGGGGGGGGGGGGG